AACGAAACTAAAAGAAGCCCAAAGAAGTGAGTTATGGCCGGCTTCAGGCCTTCAGTCTGAGCGGTGGGAAGCAGACCCCCCCCCCCCCTCAGGGGAGAGGGAGGGTGGAAGTGTTTACAGCACCAGCCACATCTGCGCTTCATTACTGTTAGTCAGTCCTGGACGGGAACCACAAAGAGCTGTAACCCTTTAGCTGCTGTTAGTCCCCAAAGCCCGTCGGTTCCCCCCCCAAAAGCTGCTCTCAGTTGTTTCCTATGAAGCAACGAATGGAAGCTAAAGCCTGGGGTTATTAGACACATGTCATGGAGGAAAAACATATAAATCCTTTATGACAAACATGTCATCGATGAGAGGAAAAGGCCAGTTTAGCTGAAATAAGCTGCATGTTATGGATGCATGTGCAGAATAACATACACGAATATCTGTCAGATCTGAAGCTGCCTCTGTGCGTTTAAAGCTCTTTGTTGGGGCGCCTGTTTGGTCTCGTTGATGGCTACCTTAAAAAATCAAAACGGCCCGAGAACGTTAGCATGAGAAGCTAAAACGGGACGAGGAAACTCCAGGAGGAAAGAATGCTGTGGAGCAGAGAGGGTCTGACAAAGCCAGAGGAGGAAACTGAGAAGCATGAGCCAAACGTGCACGTTATTGGACCGTTAAGGGTCCAGACACTCTTACTCTGATGTGCAACTGTGATGTCTGCCCCTTTTTGAGAGGATTTTTCCCTGGTGGTAGAATCTCTTGGATCAGGTTCCAGCTCCTGGTGTCTCACATGCTGTTTCAGTGAGGAGCAGCCATTAACCCGTCACCTCCTCCAGATCCACATCGTCTGGAGGGAGGAAAACCAAACCGGTCTGAGTTTCTGGTCGGCCCTGGTGAGGGAACCCTGGTTTTGAAGCCACGTTAGGACCCGACTCCCCTCCATCTCTGGCTCTGGATCAGGGCAGCTGGAATCAAATGATGGAAGCAGTCTTTGGAACAATGGTATCTTCCAGGGCTTCCACCTCCAGCTGGATTCTAATTGGGGCCCTTAATGGTGGTAGTAGGAGCATCCACCACCATTAGCATTAGCATTAGCATCTGTAACCCACAGGTCTGTGTCCTAACCATTAAATTGTTATCAGAGTAAATCCCTGTTCAACATGAGTCTGACAACTAAGTAAGTAGATAAATAACTTTAGACTTTAGTACAGGCTCTGATAGGCCGGGATCAGTATCAAAAAGCTGGATCGGGACGTCCTTAATCTGCTATCAAACATGAGCTGAGTGTCTGGGAAGAGAATGGTAGTGGGGATGTGGGTTCTCCAGGGCCGATGCAGTCCGGGGTCCCTTTAGAGGCGGCCGGGTCAGA